TGCATAAAATAAAAAAATAAATAAAAAATTTAAAAAATAAAAAGTAACATTTTCTAAGACCATAAACTCAAAATAAAGACAAATTAAAAGAAAAGAATTTTAAAATGTTAAAGGGGGGGAAAGATCATAAAACTCTTTTTGAAGCCATGAGCCTGCTGTACTCTTATTTGTGGCCTTGACTGGGCACGCTAAACCCTGTGTACCTAGCTGTTATGAAGATTATATCATCACCAAGCCTGGTGGCTCTTGCCTATAATCCACTGGGGATGGGAGGGATAGAGACAGGAGGACTGGAAATCCAAGGTCATCACCCACTACTTAGAAAGTTCAAGGCCAGCCTGAGCTATAGGAGACCCTGTCTCAACAATAACAAACAAACATAAGGCTGGCAAGATAGCTTAGAGGTTAAGAGGTGACTTAGAGGTTAAAAGCACTTGCTGTGGGGGCTAGAGAGCTGGCTCAGCGGTTAAGAGCACTGACTGTTCTTGCAGAGGACCCAGGTTCGATTCCCAGCACCCACATGGCCCCTAACAACTGTCTGTAACTCCAGTTCCAGGGGATCTGATGCCCTCGTCTGACCTCCACGGACATTGCACGACACGGGTGCACCTACCTACATGCAAACAATACACCCATACACATTAAATAAAAATAAGGGACTGGAGAGATGTCTCAATGTTTAAGAACATTGGTTGTTATTGCAGAAGACCCAGGTACGAATCCCAGCACCCACATGGCAGCTAACAATTGTCAGTAACTCCAGTCCCCTTCTGACCTCCACAGGCATTGCACGACACAGGTGCACTTACCTACATGCAGGCAATACATGCATACACATAAAATAAAAAATAATAATAATAATTTTTAAGTTAAAAAATAATAAAAATAAAAATAAAGCATTTGCTGTTCTTCCAAAGGACTTGAGGACTCCCAGCATCCACGTGGCAGCTCTGGGTTCTCTCGCCCTCTTCCACACATATTAATAAACATACCAGCAATCAAAACACTTGGACAAATAAAAATTTAAAAATAATTTTAAAAACTGATTTTGAAACTTCAAGAGGTGATAAGCAGTTTATTTCCTTGGATTTAAGTTATACATATCTCTTAATTCTTCTATTAGTAGAAGTCCATAGTTCCATTCTGGTGGATAAACTTTTATTACATGTAATGTCTTTTAACAATCTTGGGATATTGAATTTGATGGAAGCCCAAGAAATATAATTTTAACTGAGTGTGGTGGAATATGCCTGTAATCTTAGCACTTCTGAAGCTGCTACAGGAAGACCACTAGAAGTTCAAGGTTATCATCCACTGCATAGTGAGTTCAAGACCAGCCTGCTTGGTCTATAGAGTGAGATCTTATCTAAAGAAGAAGATGGAGATGAAGAAGGAGGAGGAGGGGGAGAGAAGGAAGGAGGAGGGAGGGAAGGAGAGAGGAAGGCAGGGAGGCAGGAGGAAGATGAGAGGAGGAGGAGGAGAAAGAAGAAGTCAACTGTCTCTTGAGGAGCCCACACCCCACTTGGGTACGTTTTACTTTCTGGAACGCTCAAAGAAGCCCACACACATCACACCCAAGTGTTCAAGTGTGTCTTATTTTTTCCCCCAGAACCTCTCTTTCTCTTAACCCTCATGTTTAAGTCTATATTAAAATACCTTTTTTAAAACCCTGATTCTGCTTCAAAAAAAGAAAGAAATACCTTGAAACTTGGTGGGGTCTTGTGTTGTTTCATATTCCTTTTTTTTTTTTTTTTTTTTTTTTTTTTTTTTTTGTCTTTTTGAAGCAGCATCTCCCTGTAGACCCAGCTGGAACTGGAACTCACTATGTAGACCAGGCTGGCCTTGAACTCACAGAGATCTGCCTGCCTCTGCCTCCCAAGAGCTGGGACTACAGGTGTGCGCCACCATGCCCGACTCATATTCTTTTTAAAAGTATTTTATGCTGGGCGTGGTGGCACACACCTTTAATCCAAGCACTCGGGAGGCAGAGGTAGGTGGATCTCTGTGAGTTTAAGGCCAGCCTGGTCTACATAGTGAGTTCCAGGACAGCTGTGGCTACTGGGAGACCCTGTCTCAAAAAGACCAAAAAAACCCAAAAAATCAAAGTATTTTATTTATTATTTTTATTTTATGTGTATGAGTGTTTTGCCTGAATGTATGTAAGTGCACCCATGTCATACAATGTCTGTGGAGATCAGACGAGGGTGTTGAATCCCTGGAACTGGAGTTATGGATGGTTGTTAGCCCCATGTGGGTGCTGGGAACTGAACCCAGGTCCTTTGGAAGAACAACCAGTACTCGTAACTTCTGAGCCATCTCTCCAGCTCCTTGTACTCTTCTTTTTTTTAAGATTTTATTTTTATTTCTGTATGTGTGTCTGTCTATGTGTCTGTATGCTAATGTATGCAGGTGCTGGCAGAAGCCAGAAGATGATGTTAGATCCCCTGGAACTGGAGTCACAGGCAGTTGTGAGCCACCCAGCATGGGTGCTGAGAACTGAGCTTGAGATCCTTTTT